CTCTCTCTTTCTCCATTCTTAATTGTCCAACTAATTCTGTATAATTCAGAAATTATTATCTTTAATTGGATCTGCATCCATTATACACTGCTCAAAAAAATAAAGGGAACACTTAAACAACACAATGTAACTCCAAGTCAATCACACTTCTGTGAAATCAAACTGTCCACTTAGGTAGCAACACTGATTGACAATCAATTTCACCTGCTGTTGTGCAAATGGAATAGACAACAGGTGGAAAGCAGAGGCAGTTAGCAAGACATCCCCAATAACGGAGTGGTTCTGCAGGTGGTGACCACAGATCACTTCTCAGTTCCTATGCTTTCTGGCTGATTGTTTGGTCACTTTTGAATGCTGGCGGTGCTGTCACTCTAGTGGAAGCATGAGACGGAGTCTACAACCCACACAAGTGACTCAGGTAGTGCAGCTCATCCAGGGTGGCACATCAATGCGAGCTGTAGCAAGAAGGTTTGTCAGCGTAGTGTCCAGAGCATGGAGGCGCTACCAGGAGACAGGTCAGTATACCAGGAGACGTGGAGGAGGCTGTAGGAGGGCAACAACCCAGCATCAGGACTGCTACCTCCGCCTTTGTGCAAGGGGGGACAGGAGGAGCCCTGCCAGAGCCCTGCAAAATGACCTCCAGCGGGCCACAAATGTGCATGTGGCTGCTCAAACGGTCAGAAACAGACTCCATGAGGGTGGTATGAGGACCCGACATCTACAGGTGGGGATTGTGCTTACAGCCCAACATCGTTCAGGATGTTTGGCATTTGCCAGAGAACACCAAGATTGGCAAATTCACCACTGGCGCCCTGTGCTCTTCACAGATGAAAGCAGGTTCACATTGAGCACATGTGACAGACGTGACAGGGTCTGGAGACGCCATGGAGAACGTTCTGCTGCCTGCAACATCCTCCAGTATGACCGGTTTGGCAGTGGGTCAGTAATGGTGTGGGGTGGCATTTCTTTAGGGGGCCGTACAGTCCTCCATGTGCTCGCCAGAGGTAGCCTGACTGCCATTAGGTACTGAGATGAGATCTTCAGACCCCTTGTGAGACCATATGCTGGTGTGGTTGGCCCTGGGTTCCTCCTAATGCATGACAATGCTAAACCTCATATGGCTGGAGTGTGTCAGCAGTTCCTGTTCAGACGAAAGCATTGATGCTATGGACTGGCCCGCCCATTCCCCAGACCTGAATCCAATTGAGCACATCTGGGTCATCATGTCTTGCTCCATCCACCAACGCCACGTTGCACCACAGACTGTCCAGGAATTGGGGGGTGCTTTAGTCCAGGTGTGGGAGGAGATCCGTCAGGAGACCATCTGCCACCTCATCAGGAGCATGCCCAGGTGTTGTAGGGGGGTCATACAAGCACGTGGAGGCCACACACACTACTGAGCCTCATTTTGACTTGTTTTAAGGATATTACATCAAAGTTGGATCAGCCTGTTGTGTTTTTTTCCATTTTAATTTTGAGTTTAACTCCAAATCCAGACCTCCATGGGTTGCTAAATTTTATTTCCATTGATAATTTTTGTGTGATTTTGTTGTCAGTACATTCAACTATGTAATGAACAAAGTATTTAATAATAATATTTCATTCATTCAGATCTAGGATGTCTTATTTTTGTGTTCCCTTTATTTTTTTGAGCAGTGTAGTTTCAATGTCTTTTTTTCTTCTTTGCTATCATTTTTAATAAATTAAAAGAAATAGCAAGAGTAATACCAAAATAGCTCGCGCAGGAGGTTGGGCTAGAAGACCTCCCAGGTCCCTTCTAGTTCTATTCTGATTGATTGATTCATTGAAATTATAGAAATATTCTCCATATGACAAAAATTACTTGAGTTATAACTTTGGCCAAAGTGAAGTGAGGTCATTGATGACTCTTTAAGATTCTGGCTTGTCCTTTTGAGAAACCAGCTAACTCCCATTCTTACTTAATTAACACTTTTCTTTTAAAAGGCTGGCTTATTCTGATGAGTTTTCCTTCTTCCGTTTCAGCAATTGTAACGGCTGCATGCTGGATCCAATGTGTGGGTTTTGCTACAAACTGAACAAGTCAAGTGTCATTGAATCGTCCTGTGTTCTGGTTAGCAAGAAATCGACAATGGAAGCCGCTTGGGGCAGGTAAGTTATTTTTGTGTGGCTTAATTTTGTAAGAAATGCATCCATCGGTGTTCATCTGGCTAGCTTCCTGTGAGGGAGTTGAGGGCTATTTGGAAACTGAAACACTATTTGCTGTGTGAGCAAGGAGATAGCAAGGGCATGGCTTATCTCAACTGTTCTGCCCTAAAGCTGCTTGCTGCTGTGAAAGTAAAACTGAAACTCATCTCCTCTGTTTATGTTTTGCATTTGGAACAGATGTTTTTTCAGGTGGGGAGGGGGAGTAGAACTCCTTAGCATCAGAGCGTGTTAATAATAATAATATATGAAATGCTAATGCTCTGATGGTCATTTGGAAAAATCCTTTCTTAGTGAGCCCCTAGAAGCCAAGAGGAACATACGTGCCAAATTTCACACCTGTAGGCTTTACGGTTCTGGAGATTTTGTGATGATGTGTGAATGGTATTTCGCTTTTATATATATATAAAGAAGATATAACTGCTTTTATGTTTGACTCTTTTAATATTTATATGAATTAATCAGACATCTCAAAGGCTGACGTATGATTAATGCAGGCGTGTTATACAGTAACGGCACCGAAAGCAGCCTTTGCACATGGCAATCTTGTGACTTGCCAACTTATTTGATGATGTCTTGACTTTTAGTGTGTTTCCTCTTTATTGCTAATTACCCACACTGGGGATAGATGGACAGATAATTTTTTTTTAATTACCTTTGACGTTGAAGTCATGCAAGAGTAACAAAATTCAGAGAAGACTTCCTTTTCAATCGAAGATATATTTTACAATGTTTAGTGCTGCTATTTAAAGAACTCTTTCATCAATACAAAGTCTGTTTGCTGCAGGTACAGGAAACTCCAGCATTGTTATTATGTTAAAAGGTGATCGATTGTTTTAATTTTATTACTGAGTTATTGTTTCTGGTGACTGTGATTCTATATCATCTGTAGAGAAAAAAAAACCAGCATTAACATTTTTTTATATAAGACCAGGGGTGGGATTCAAATTTTTTAACAACCGGTTCTGTGGGCGTGGCTTAGTTGATGGGCATGGCTTGGTGGTCATGTTATTGGCTGGGTGTGGCCAACTCAATATCACTCACATCGAGGCATGCATCTCCTCGCCTGGCCTCTCACGACTGTCGGGATGCTGCAACAGTTGTAAGTGTGAAAAATGGACATAAGTCACTTTTTTCAGCGCCATTGTAACTTTGAATGGTCACTCCACACAAGCAAAGTACCAGCAAAGGAGAGGAAGAAAACTCCAAGGAAGTTCCTGAGACAGGAAGTGCTAGTCCTGCCAAGAATGTAATAAGGGTTAACGGAGAGGCAGTTTCTGTAAGCAACACCAGAATATTTCCTTCCTGCCTTCCTTACAGGATTAGACCAGTAATTTCTTCTAACAACCGGTTCTACGAACTGCTTAGAATGTTAACAACCGGTTCTAGCGAATAGATGCGAACTGGTAGAATCCCACCCCTGTATAAAACTGCAGTTTGATATGTGCTCCTCCATGGTGCTCTTAGATTAAATTTTAAGGCAGGTTTTACTCAGATAGAGAGAAATAAATGCATTGCTTTAGCTATGCAGTACATATATATGCTGCACACAATCTCTCTTGTAATCTTGCTTAAATAAATCCTGACTGCTTCAATGCCACTTTTTTAGTGGGGGTTTTCATAGCAGTCATGACACTAGCATTCATTTGCTCAGAAGTAAATCTTCACAGTATTTATTTAATTATCTATCAAATTTATTATTGGACTAGGGGTAAGAATAGAATAGAATAAGAAATAGAACAGAACAGAACAGAAAATGTGGAGTAGAATGGAATGGAATGGTGGAATAGAATAAGAAATAGAATAAGAAATAGAACAGAACATACAGAGCAGTACAGAAAATGTGGAGTGGAATGGAATGGAATAGAATAGAATAAGAAATAGAACCGAACAGAACAGAAAATTGGAATGGAATGGAATAGAATAGAATAGAAAATACGGTACAGAACAGAATGGAACATAAGGAACAGAACAGAAAATATGGAATGGAACAGAAAATATGGAATGGAATAGAATACAAAATATGGAATGGAACAGAAAAGAACAGAAAATATGGAATGAAACGGAGTGGAATGGAACAGAACCGAAAATGTGGAATGGAAATGAGTGGAACAGAATGGAACAGAACAGAATAGAATAGAAAATGTGGAATAGAAAGGAATGGATCTCGTGATCCCCTTTTGCAACCTTCTGAGAAGCAAAATCAATGGGGAAGCCAGGTTCAAATGAACGACCGTGTTACTAATTTAACAACTGCAGTGACTCACTTAACAACTGTAGCCAGAACTGTAGCCAGTTTTGCCCCATAAAGTGGGGCAAAACCTCCCTTACCCACAGAAATGTCGGGCTCAATTGAGGTTGTAAGTCGAGGACCACCTGCATCCCTTTCTCTATTGCAGGACGCTTTGGTCATTCTTTTTGTATTTCTCATTTCAATCATTAAATAACCTTCGGGATGATTTTTTTTCCTCAGTCAGTCAGTCCTCGTTAGGGCCACACCAAAGAAGAAAGACTAGAATCTCTTGACGTGGTAGTGCAGAAGTTTTAATTAGATGCACAGGAAACGTTTGCTGAATGCAGGATAATTTTGATTATATGTTATTGAAAGCATTGCAATTTGCGAGTGGTTTTTTTTTTTCTTCCCCCACATAGTGCTATTAAATATCCATAGCATTTTCAGCTGATTGTGAAGGAGAAACAAGGAGCTACAGTGCAAGCAATTAAACTTTTAATTTTTTTTAAAGGTATAATAGAATGCACACTGGAAGTCTTGTCATTGGTTCAACCACGTGAAAAGGTTATTTTTTGATGGGTCAAGGGTAGTATTTCATGTTTTCCATGAGATGTTAAAGAGTTTTAGTATTGTGTCAGAAGATGGTGAATAATTCATTTTGGAATCTAATAGCATTTTTCAAATTCTGGAGGTTGGTTCTGGTAGAAAGAAATTTCATTCTGTAATGGCTAATGGAAGAATTCTTCTTTTGTACCCAAGGCGAAAAAAAACTAAAGCTCAAGCATAGAAAAAAAAATGACAATAATATAGAATACAATTTAATTTTCGTTCTTTGGACTGGATACAATTTGAGATAAATTAAAAAAAAATCAGAGAAAAACATCTATGGAGATTCTCAATCATCCAGGACATGGTTGACCCGAAAGTTGTTGTTTTTTTTCCCCCAAAGGCAACAGGTCTTTCTTGGTTTTTTTTTTTGAAAATGTTTTGCTTCTCAGCCAAGAACTGAAGACGCTTCTTAGAACACAGGATAAGAGAGTTTGAAGGGTACTCAGATGTCTTAGTCTAGTCCCAATTCGCTGCTAGAGGAGGAGTTCCTGGACCATTTTAGACAGATGGTTAGACAGTCTCTTTTTGAAAGCCTCCAGTGATGGAGCCACCCACAATTTAGAATAGAATAGAATAGAATAGGAATAGAATAGGAATAGAATAGGAATAGAAATAGAATGAAAAAGAAAAAATAAGTATAAGAATAGAAATGGAAATGAAAGGAATAGAATAGAACATAGAACAGAATATAGAATAGAATAGAATAGAATAGATATATAGAAGAGAAGAGAACATACTAGAGGTTTAGAAGAGAACAGAACAGTACAGAACAGTACAGAATAGAATATCAGAGTTGGAAGGGACCTTGGAGGTCTTCAACCCCCTGCTTAGGCAGGAAACCCTATATCATTTCAGACAAATGGTTGTCCAATCTCTTCTTAAAAACTTCCAGTGTTGGAGCCTTCACAACTTCTGAAGGCAAGTTGTTCCACTGATTAATTGCTCTCTCAGGAAATTTTTCCTTAGTTCTAAGTTCTAAGAGAATTGAATAGAATAGAATAGAGCAAAAGTATAGAATAAACCTATAGAGTAGAATAGAACAGAACAACAGAACAGAAAAATAGAGTAGAATAGAATAAAATAGAATAGAATAGAATAAAATAAAATAGAATAGAAAATAGAATAGAATAGAAAATAGAATAAAAAATAGAATAGAATGAAATAGAATAGAATAAGTACAAAATACAATACAATAGAAAATAGAATAGAAAATAGAATAGAAAATAGAATAGAAAATAGAATAAAATAGAGTAGAATAGAATAGAACCATGATGGCGAACCTATGGCACGCATGCCGGAAGTGGCATGCAGAGCCATCTTTGCCAGCACGCGAGCCGTTGCCCCGGATCAGGTCCACTGTGCATGCGTGCGTGCCTCCTGCCAGCTAGCTGATTGTCAGGTATCTGCCACGCATACACAGAGGTGCATAGGGGGGTCATGTACGCAGGAGGTGGGGGGTGTCGCGCGCATTATGGGTGCAGGCATGCGCGTGTGCGTGCGCACACACTTTTGGCACACGATGGTGGAAAGGTTAGCCATCACTGGAATAGAACTTTATTGTCATTTTAAATGTACATCAATCAGCATAGATTAAAATGAAATTTCCTTGAATTCAGCTCTCAAAAGATCACTCTTATGCACATACCACATACGCACACACATAGATGACCCAGAGAAACATCCCAGTCTAGTTCGAATGTACACATATATCTGGGGAAAGAATCCCGGAAATTTACAAGATACCTACCTTGGCCTATGGAACCAAGCTGTTCCAGCATCTAGTAATTCTTCTACAGATACTTCGAAACCTCCTCCCAGAGGGGAGCAGCAGAAGGTGCGAAGAAGGATCATAAGCCACCTTTTCCAGGGCTGTTGTAACTTTAAACAGTTGCTAAACGAACGTTTGTAAGTCGAGAACTACCCTAACTAACCATTTATATATTTATATTTATATATATATTTATATATATATATATTTATATATACACACACACACATATATATATATATATATACATACATATATATATATATACACACACACACACATACACATACATATATACCTATATACATATATACATATATACATATATACATATAT